TCAATTTAGACAAGGCACAAGAAACAAATATATATGCTCAAAAATCATTCCGAAATGCCTCGTTTTTTTGTTTGATTATTGATGAATAGTCATTGTGGTTTTGAGGATTAAATAGTTACTCTGTCGAAAAACGGCTTCGTTTGTCATAACGAAATACCAAACAAATTATGTCTTTTTTGGTAAAAATGGATATAAAGAAAGGAAATAGTTTTGACTATCCTCGATTTTCAACTGGTTCGGTGTATTTGTCATCCACCACGTATTCGACATACTCGTCCTTTCTCAATTCATCATAGTCATTTCCAGTTCTACTTGCATACTCAGTAACTGAATATTTGGAGCTTGAAGGTCTGGTTCCAATCGCTTTCTCGGAAGAAGAATGTAACGTTTGCCCAACTACCGCCGTCTCATCGATTATGGTTGGTTGCTCGCTGGTTGGTATTTCTGCAACAATACCGTCAAAATTGGTTTGTGCTAAGTGATCCAATCTATTTCTCTGTGAGTTGTTGTTTTCTTTGGGTTCAAGATTCATCTCGCCTCCTAACTTGATTTTTTTGGTTTTGTTCAAATCATTTGATTATGGGATATTATAATTCTGACTGATATGACTGAGAAAACAAAATCAGCATATCATTTTAAACATAATAATATAAAAACGCATGCTCAAAATATTTAACTTAAGAAAACTTTATTTCTGGCAATACGCTTTGCGTGAATTCTTAGCTTGTATATAATTTTCTTAGCTGAACTTAGTAGTGGAATGAAATCAAAGAATCAACAGAGCTAACAAGACTGCTAGTATATCAGGGCAAAGCCCTGAATGTTCCAAATGCCCCTTAATCTATATTGATTAGTTTTTGAGAAAAGAAAATAAAGAAAACCAATAAAATTTCGACAATGTCAAAGATCATTTTCGAGTCGTACGGAATTATTACGAAAATAAGCTAGCCTCAATTCAGTTTGGAAGGATTTTGTTGAGCGGGATAGAGAAAAAACCATCTTTTTTTTAACTCAGGAAGTCAATATTTTCAATGGGGTGTATTCGTTTAGAAAAACAATTATTTCGATCTCCGAATTTTGACTGAAAAAAGAAAAACCACCCCAGGCATAAGTCTTCCGTTTTCTACAAGAGACGGAACAGTTACCGCAAGTTTTACCAGTTCCATTAATTTTAGCATAGAATGGAAATTTGAAAATATTTGAAATCTATACGAGATGTGTAACTTACGATGAAATGCATTTCAATAAAACATTTCGGTAAGTCTCTATTTGTTGTCAGAATAATATAATCTCAGAGTTGGCAGAGTATCGGAGTATTTCCCGAGTCTTCAAAATCATGTTTTTAAGTTATTCACAGCAAACAATTTTTACGTTTAAATGTATTGAGCATTTTTTTTCGTCGAATCTGTGTACAAAGCGTAGCTGGGTTATTTGTTTCAATCAAATGAACCTAAGAACTCTTGTCGCATAATCAACAACTAATGTTCTAGCAAATTAGGAGATAATTAACAAAAAACCAAAGTTCAGAATTTGATTCTGTATTTAGCCGTGAATTGGATTTATTGGTGAAGTGGAATCAAAGTTGTCAACAGAGGAAAACTTTTTGAAATGTTGCGAATTTCAATATTTTTCACTGCAAAACCTTAACTAAAAACTATAAGAGATGCGTCGATGTGGTCGACGGCGGTTCAATAAAACAAGTCGGTTCTTCTTATTTCGTTTTATAAGTGAAAGTATAACTGACCATGATGTCATCGATAGCAGAACGACCTTTTTTTGGGAAACTCATTGATGTGTAAATAGTGCAAATGGACTTTGACACGACTGATAAAATCTAGAGAGTTTTTTTGCGGTTCACTGAAACCAACCATGATTAAAATGATTTATTTGTTTCTACGCGCAAAAAAAATATGAAAAGTTGCATACAAAAGATGAAACCAAAACTTTATTTATTTATTTTAATCATGGAAAATTTTTTGGCCAAAAAAATATTACGCAGGATTGCAATAATAGTTTTCTATTATAAGAAAAGGTTGAAAAAAAAGAAACTTCCACTTAAAATTTTTTAGTCGAATCACTTATTTTTTGAAAGTTCATTACGAGGCCAAACTGTGCATTTTGTGCATTGAACTTGCGGATTCCGCGACAAGGACGCTCCCTTTGTTCTTCTTTTGTTCTTTCATTTTCTTTGATCGTTCCGACAAATTTAAACATGTTTAAAGACTTGTCTCTGGAATCCAGGAACATACAGACACAAAATTGTGCTCCTATCCAGTGCACAGTTTGGCCTCGTAATGTTTTCTGTTTTAAATTGTGCAATAACTCATTTTTTTGTAACAAAGGAACAGAAAAATTGCATCTTGTTTGTTATAAGTTTAAAATATAAACAACATCAATCTCCAGTTTTTTGACAATCTATACAAATATATAGGATATAGGGTTGAAATTTTGACACATGGTTGACATTAACCTTTACAAGCATCTAGTTGCATCAAAATTTGGAAGAAGTCATATAATCGGAAAAGCGTTCTTCTCACTGAAACAACCTTGAAAGCAGTTCTACTGAAGTTATCAGTTCAAATCAGCAGCCAATTCAGACCCAAAAAAAAAACAATTTCATCAGCCATGTTTTGAAGTTTAGACCTCGTAAACATTAGACAGCAAAAACGCGAAGAAAATAATTGTTCTTTCGTTCATAATCAAAATTTTTTGTCCATTGTATGCAGATGACCTGTACCTTTACAAATACTAAACTAAACTGAAAAAAATTGTCATATGAATTCCACCTAATTTTTCCAAAAAAAATTTGGCAATAAATCTTGAAATTCAACTGAATGCTCAAGTAGCATATACAAAAAAGTCAGTTGCCGTGCTAGTAGTACAAAATATTCCGACCATATTATAAAAAAGCTATATTTTTTCAACACACCTTATTTTTTTCTCCATATGATGATAGTATCGAAATGAAAGCCTAGAACTGGATAGTAAAAGCAAATTATGCACATTTGTCTACAAATTTTCATTGAGAAAATAACGCAAAAAAAATTCAAAGAACTATCAAAGAACTATCAAAAAATTTTTCGTTCTTTGTTTCATCACAAGGAAAACTCTAAGATATTCTTTGTTAACTTCTTTCAAGTAAATATAAATAATAGTTATAAATCAAATCCCCAAGTTGACTTTGCTTGGGTGATTTCAAATAGACTATTTTGTTCAGAAAAAAAATATATCAAAAACTTACTTTAACTTCTGAAAAATCAAAAAAACAAAGATACACAGACAAGTTGAAGCTGTCAAAGCTTTCAAGGAATAACACAACAAAAAAAAACATTCCTAATTTTGGCTCACCGAAAACTTTTATGTTCTCTGAAATTGATAGAAGTTTGCAAAAGTACAATAAACTATTTTTCACAATTTATTTCGATTGACTAAAAACTGTAGACTGTGAAACACTGATCAAAGTTTTTAGGATAACTACAGATTTTTTTGGGGGGGGGGAGGGTTTGACTTGTCAGGTTCATTTTTGACAGCTGAGACATAGGTTTTGGTATTTTATAGCATATAAGAGTAGGAAAAACATAAATATATAACAAAATCATAGAAAAAAGTTATTCGTTATTCTGTTACTCCCCTCTGACAGTAATTGGCGAAACTTCAAAAAACACATGAAAATGTAGTTTAAGTTATAAGTTGAAACATTTTAAGTGCCCTCTGATCTAAGCTTTTAGTACTTGTGTGTTCAGCCCACAAAGAGAGTAAGATCTCTCATTGTACCAAGTTGTATAATGAATCACTTTGAAGCCGTTATAATTGTTTTTCAAACTAACATTAAAACCAGTTTACTTAGAAAACTGGCTGGAAATTTTTGCTTTTAGACGATTAGTGACGCGACAATTTTTAACAGGTGACAACTTTTAGTGGCAAACAAGCGGCAGCTTAAAGGGAATTACGCGCACCACTCCTCTCGTGCACTTTAAAGCGCAGTGGAGCGAGAGGAGTGGTGCGCGTAATTCCCTTTAAGCTGCCGCTTGTTTTCCACTAAAAGTTGTCACCTGTTAAAAATTGTCGCGTCACTAATCGTCTAAAAGCAAAAATTTCCAGCCAGTTTTCTAAGTACACTGGTTTTAAATTTAGTTTGAAAAACAATTATAACGGCTTCAAAGTGATTCATTATACAACTTCATGATTCATTATACACAAAGGCAGTGACAAGTAGCTCTCGCTACTTGTCACTGCCTTTTTACGAAATGACACTTGTTACCAATTGTCAATTTCTACAAACAATCGCCTTTTACGATTATATAGCTTGTTAAGAAGTGTCATTCTACTAGGCAAATTTATGTTTAATAAAGTCGTTGTTCAGCCGGACAATGATTCCCAGCTTTTCTCTTTTAAAGATAATTACAATTACTTTAAGCTGTTAAGGTGTTAATAATTAGAAACTGAAGTTTCTGGTAATTACAATTCGTCGTTTGTGCTCTTTCAATCAAACAGTTTTCTGGTCAATGGCTAGGGTCTCGCGAGTTTTTTAGAGGCCTAGAGACTATTTGATTTACAAGTTGAATGATTCTCTCAGTCTTCTGTTAAATTTGGCTGTCATGGACCAATTGTTTCGAATTGAATGACTAGCGCTTCCGGTGTTGGGCGTTCAGCACGAGAAAAGAAAATAATTGTCGGAAAAACTTTGAAACATAGATGTCTTCAAAAGTTACACTGCTAGAATTTTATTTCAGTGTGTGACATAGAAATGATTGAAGATCAGGATCAGATTTTTGGAGGGTGAGGGGGGGGGGGGGGGTTTCTTTTTATAGATTCGACCCCTCTTTATTGTCCACAGGGTGCCCCTTCAGTTTTTTTTACGACATCCATTATCGGCTCAGTGACCATAAAAACTTTCTTAAGGCTCCTTCGGCGCCACTTTATACTATATTTGAGTAAGAGCGCGCGCCCAAAAACGGTCAAACGCTTCCAAAAACTGCCAAAATTCGGTCAAACCCTTCCAAAAACTGCCAAAAGAACGCCCCTCCCCCCTTCCTCGAGAAAATATTAGATCCGCATCTGGTCAAGAAGCATCTTAGTTTTTGATCGGTTAGTTTTCATCGTATCTTATTGCGTGCAGGCAATAGGTGAGACAGATGTGTTTTCTTGTTTTGCAATGACAGTTGCGTTTAAACAGTTCACCTCAAAAAACATCTCAGTCAAGTTGTATTCCATCTGCGACACGATTCCATTTACTCTCGTTAGTTGTTCTGTATTTGAAGCGAATTCGTTTTGCAAAACTGTTAAATTTGCTGAAGTTATTTGAAGAAAAGATGTCAATTTTCTCAGCTGATCATCCACGTCAGAAACTGATGACGTCAGAGCTTCAGAAGTATTCTTCAATTTCTGGACAGAGATGTTAGACGCGGCAATATCAAAACGAAGCTGATCAATCTGAACAAATGATGAATTACAAAACAGAATAGTGTATCAAATTAACAGATTTTTTTTAAATCTAACAATTTGAACAATTTTAGGTTTGGATTTCATTAGTATCTTGTTTTTTTTTCTTGAAAAGCTGTCAATTCTAATAATTTAGTTATTCTTAAATTGTTCTGAGTGAATCAAAAATTGTCTATTTACCTTTTGGGGTACGATCATTGTCATAGCAGTCAAGTTCATCAAAGATGAATTTAGAGTAATTCCATCACTCTTTAGTTTCACTAGATCATCATCAAGACCGGATAAGAGCACAGAAAACCCAAATGCCGCCGAAACCACCAAAAACAGAGCCAAAGCAGATCCTACAAAAAATGAGACTGGATACATTTTGGGCAGCTTGAACACCGGCCATTTTTCTCGCTCCAATCCTTTCTGCTCTGTTTTCTCTTGACTTCTAGATTGTTTTTGAGTTTTTCTATTCTTTTCCTTTTGCGGGATGTTATTATCTCGTACGTTTCCTCCTAAACAAATTTTTCTTAAAAGTTAGTTTGGAAAGAAGCTAAAAATTGACACTAGGACGTTACAAGCTAGGGCACTCAAATTTTGTTTTCTAAATCAAAAGTTTTTTTTCTTGCACATTGCTCAAACCTTTTCTTTCGAACCTCAAATTTTCACTCTAAGATAATTTTGAAATGTGTTATTGAAAGGGTCTAAAATTTATACGTGAGAACCTCCTTGTGAGAACCTCCTCACAACTCAAAATATTTTGGTCGCCCATTTCAAAATTTTCTGCAGCTAGAAAAAAAGCTTTTTTTTGCAGAACGTACGCCACACAGACTTTAGGCAGTTTTTATGGAGGAATTTTATGACAATTAGAAAAGAATTAGAAAAGAAAACAAGCTCATTTTTTCACTATTGAATCTGCATTTAATATCAATCCAAATATGTTATCCGCAGAACCGTTTTTTTGGGAGCATGTAGCTGAAAACTGACCAACAAATATTGTGCTGTGGTTTCGTTTTCTAGACAAATATTACACATCTGAACACAGATAAGCCGAATTATTTTTTAACGAAACTAAACATGTTAAGGATGTCGCGTATGCTACAAATAGAATTATAGATATAGCCGAGTAAAATATATGGTTTTCACTTAACAAATACTAGAGAAGATTCATGTTATTTAGATTAAATCAGCACGTGTTCGACAAGTCAGAATGCAGAAAAATTCAAATTTTAAATTGAAAACTTCTGCTAAATTACTGCTTATATTTTATAGCGGTGGAAAACTATTAGTAGATACCATAAGGCAGAATTAAATCGATGTACAGTTTCAAGAAAACTGCTCGTATCGAGGCGACGCCCTGAAAGTCCCGACTGCTCTTCAACGTCGTTGAAACAATTTTTGACTGCCTTAGAAACAGTTTATGGAATCAAATGAAAAAATTGATTGATTTAAAAAAATGAAAAATGTATTGAATTTTCTTGGTTTTTTAGTACTTCCTTCCAGACGCTATGCGATTCAAAATACAAAGTGTTGTTCAAAGACTGTAGTAATGTATTAATGACGGTGCACAGACATTTCGGCCAAAGACAACTCAGCCAATTTGAAACTCAGACAATTCAGCCAAAAGTATACAGACAATTCAGCCTGAGACAATTCAAACAGTTTTACAAAACGCTAAATTCGAAAGAAAAAAAATCGGAACTGAAAATATTTCTCGATTTAAGGTTGCCGGTTATTTTGCGGCGATAACTGGCTCTAATATTCTTATAAAGTCCTACCCTCTGTTGGAAAGCTCGCAACACGTTGGCGCGACTACGGTGGTCACTATTGTTGGCTGAATTGTCTGCATACTTTTGGCTGAATTGTCTGAATTTCAACTCGTCTGAATTTTCGTTGATCGAATTGTCTGGATGCGATTAATAACACTATACTTTTTGTCTCAATTCAATCGAGATCGATTTATGAGCGGATTAAGGAGCCAATTACCTGTTAATAGAAAGAACATCTCGTTGTTCAATTTTCGCAATTAGAAACTATATTGTTTGTTGGCTACTGTTTTCGACGAGAGGTTCAAAAAAATCGGATAAGTTTATTGTCCCATTTTATGATTTTTTTGTTTTGTCGTTGTTTTGCCATTCGTGCTGTTATTCCTTAAAAATGTAAATCCGATAAGTGTATAAAAGACCAAAAAACCGAAAGAAGATCGCGTTGCATTCATTTTCATTTGACAAATTTATGAGTTTATTGATTTGAAATACTAAAGTTGAGTTTCGAGAAAAAAATAAGATTCGTTTGGTATTGCTTCTTATTCTGCAATGCATGGGGTTGTTTCCTTACTTATTTGTATTTCAACCTTTTTTTTTCATGGGAGTTACATGTTTTGGTATATAGTCAATGATGGCGTTGAAGTGGTCTGGTTGTCCACAAAGAATATCTCGCTACACTTTTTTGAATATGAGCTAGTTTTCTGCTATGTCAACTGAGTAACAAGGATTGGCTTATGGTACTCAATTTGGAAAAAAATTCTCGAAAATTAACAATAAAATATGGAAAATTAAGTGTGTTTCAGTTCTTCTTGAATTGAACACTTTTTTATAACCTTTTGCCAAAAAGAAATGAGAAGCAAGTTGAAACTGTAAAATTATATCACCAAGCCTTGTTTTTCATTATCAATTGTCATTCACGCCATCGTTATGAAGAAACTTTTTAGTTGATAATGTTTTTTGATGATGGTTTCTCAGTTTTTGATTAGATGCAATGATAAAAAATAGATTAAAAATGATTAAACTCAAATTTTCCCTGCTCATCGAACCTATGCAAATAGAATCGATTCTTTTTTTAAAAAAATAAATGGGTTTTAGTGCCAAAATAAACGAATGTTTTTTAATCTTCAATCATTCTATATGATCTGTAGATAATTTTGATACAATTAGTTTATAATCTTGAAAACATGAACCTTGTTGTAATATGTAGATAAATTGTGTATATTGTGAAATCTGCGTGTTTTTTAGAGATAACTCAATCCATTTTGTAACTGCGGGTAAAAATTAAACTCAAGTCAACCGTGTCTTGGTATAACAAGCAAATTTAAACTGACAATAAATTTCTGAATTAAAAATGCAAAAACACTTTGGTAACTACTATTTCTTCTTTCTGTTATTTGTTTGTGCTTAGATGCGTGGTAACCCAAAATATTGTGTCCAGGCAGAGGTAGAAGTTTTTAGCGAATTTTATCATCCGTGTGGCTGATCTTTAGCTACTTGAGAAATTTCAGCTGGGATTTGGAAAAAGTCAAAGCATTGACGGTGAGATGATTTTTATAAGCTTGGTCAGACTGTCTTCTGACCGAAGAGATTGTGATCTCAAATGTTGGGGCACTTGTTTTCATCAACAGAGTTAAACGAAAGACTTTGAAATCTGAGGGTTTTGATTAGATCTTTTGTGTAGTTGATGTTGATTGAAGACTCAAATAATCACAATCCTGCTGCTTGGTTTCTGCGTTTGTCCACTCGGATGTCAATGAGTCACTCCTGGCTTATATTGACGACGTTGTTTGTTCCAATTACTATTTTGTTGTTTTAGTTTTTGCTAAATTTCAAATAATATGTTTCATTGGACTCATTGCATTCGCTGCAAAAAAACTGTCCACTCTGTACTGCAATGGGGTTGGTAATTTTATTTTTTTTAGATACAGATGCTTTAGTTCTGAAAAAAAAGATATCTTGATTTCAAACAGGTGTATATTTTTTCTCAATTTCATTTCTTCTAATTTTGTTCTCAAAGTTCTATGAAGAGAAGTTATTTTGTATTTTGTCTTTTTATGAACTGAGTATGGAAGCGGCATAGAGCAATATTTAGCCTTGAACCCTCTTTCTCGCAATTTTGATAGTTTGTTGGGCTTTTGAAACATCTTCAGTTTTTAGTTGTCGTAAATGTCTCCGCATTTTCTGCTTAAACATCTCGAAGCTTCCGAGGCTGATTGAAATTTCTCGATAGGGTAGATTTGTCGAATATTCTATTTTTTTGTTGCCGGTTATAATCTGTGAACTTGTCGGTTGTAATCCTGATTGCATGATTGTCGTGGATTTTAACCGCTACACAACAGCAGCAAATAAAAACTACCATGAAAGGCTGGAGGGTGTGACCCAAACAGAGTTTCCTCTCAACCAGTGAGTCACCTTGAGAGCTTAAGGAGCAATATTATTAAGATGTTAAATGGACATCAGTTAAGGATCTGTTTGTATAAAATTTATTCATCAAAAAAATAATTTTCAACCAAAAATTTCCTGAAAAAGCTTTGTGTTTCTTATCAAACCTGAACATTTTTCGAGGAAGTAGCCTTTTTTGAAAAACCAAAATAACAGCCAAAAATGATTTACATCAAATCGAAGTGACATTTTTATGGAATTTGATTTATATCCTGCATTTGAAGTTAAGTCTTTGTGGACTCGCTAAATCTAAAAATATAAAAATTCTGTTCGGGTACTTTGAACTCTGAAAAGAGCATGATAATACAAACTAAATACGGCGTTTATTTGACTATCATTTTTGTAATTAGTTATTATTGAATCAAGATCAGAGTTGAAAGTAATTCTATGATGTTTAGAAATATGATGGATTGTGCATATGGTTCGTGTAACATCAGAGGACTTCGTTTTCAAAAATTTCCAGGACAATTCCACAAGAGAAAAAAACATTGTTTTAAAATTTTAATCAACCAGAGCTTAAATTTTCAATCGTGGACAATTTTGAAGTTCGAAACTTTAACCATCTGGTTTGATTCCATTGATGATACACTCCAGGGCATAAAAATTGCAAATTTTTGATTTAAAGTTGTTTTAGAGTTGTTCTGGCTGTAGAAACATCCTGGCTGAATGTGTCAAAAGATGTACCTTATATCTCGAACAGTGGCAAAAAAACTTATCAAAACGTGCAAAGAAAATCGTTCATTTGCTCGTTGAAATCAAAAAATTGCTATTTCTATATTGTCTATAGTTTTTGCAACATCGTCTTAAGCATTTCCTAAAACCAGTTTAAGAAAATTGTCCGATGGCCTTGGGATAATTTTGTCGAGTTGTGTTCGCCAAAATCCTTATTTGTGTTCCTATTTGCAGCCAGTAGACTGAAAATATAAAAAAAAATTTGTACCGATGTTTTGACAAGATGATGGCGGCTTGAATGGTTAGAGTCGGTTATCATTTGAATGACTAAATCGTGTTGACTGTCGTTGACAATCGTCGTTGTAGTTTTTTAAGAGCGGCGATACCCTTGAGAACGACATAGAAAGTATAGTTCGTTTTTGATGAAAAATTCATTGTATTTTCGGCGCACGCCCTTTAACTGGTTTGGTTCGTTGCTTCAAGAAACCTTGACTATATAATACCCGGGTTGAAGTCCCACCGTTAATTATCGCTTTTTCTGTAGTATCCCAGAGATCGCTATTTTCCAGCGCTGATTCATGTATAATTCAGAGTTTGTTGCATAGATAAACCTGCAATTTTTCAGAGCTATTTCAGTAATGATTCCGTAGAAAATCATCGCTAAAACTTAAGAAATTTTAACTCATTCCAGTAGCTTTCAAATGAGAGTTAAAGCTGATAAGCTGTTTAGCTTTAGTTGCTTTAAGAGTTGATAGATCAGAAGTAGCATACAGGCCTATAAACCTGAAGGATAGGGGAGCGAACCCCTGTTAGAGAACTATTTTTTGATAGGTTTTTAATCGCTGTTTCATCGCTGAAAACAAGCCAAATTAGCGGTATTTATCGGTAAAATTTGCTATTGTGGCAATGAACATCGATAATTCATCAATGGCGATCGCAGTTTTTTTCACTTTTTTATCGCTAAATTTCAATGTGAGCTCAACTCGGCTATCCTTCGACTTGGAACTTATTTGGTCTCGCCTTAAGGATGTATATCGTTGTCGGTTTAAATAATTCTTCTTTTTTTCACTGACTTTAATTTACAAACTTTATTCAGTTGCACGTCTATCTAAGTTGATATAAGTTTTTACGTCTGAAATTGAATTCTGATTATTTTTGCTGAATTTTGTAGATTTTTAGTACTTTTTTGCTTATGGTTGGGTTGATTATTGCTGATGGTTGGATTTTGAGGGTGATTGGGTTGATGGGGATAGTTATTTGGGTCTCATTCATTTTGGCACTAATCATTCATTTATGGTATCATTTATTTCAAATCATTCATAATTAGATTCACCTTTTTTCGGCAATTATCTTATTTTTGTCTGGTCTGAAAACCTCTATTTCTTAATTAAATCTCAAGGCAGGAAAAGTATTATCAGGGAAATACAGGCTTCGCTGGTTGTGCCTTAGTTTGTAAAGCCTAATCATTACTGTCTCGCTATTAAAACAATTTCCAAATGCCCTAACTGCAGTCTGTTTAAGACTGCAAATATAGAAAATTAAATAATGATACCTGGAATTTCAATTGGCTCGTCGTATTTGTCTTCGACATATTCGACGTATTCATCTATCCTCAATTCATCGTACGAACTATATCCATATCCAGCTGTGCTTTCATACCCAGTAGCCGAATCATCAACGTATTTGCAACTTGAAGATCCGGACAAGTTTGGACTTTTTAGAGGAGTCAGATACCTCGGTTCAACTGCCACCGTTTTTGCAGTTTCACTCGGAGGGTCAATTGAATGATCGGTTGAGAATTCTGCATCAATGTCGTCAATATTGGTTTCAGCCAAATTGTTCAAAGTATCAGACATTTTGGCTTTTAGTTTGGTGAATTGGAGAGTCTCTATATCAATAATACAGTTGATAATGGGACATCACTTTGTTTATTCAATTGACTGAGATTTAAGTTGAAACTTAGAACAAAAAAATGTTCTTTAATTTTTGTAGTCTAATTTTATATTCAAACCGCACGTTTCTGCTGTATTGCTTATACTAAGAGAATAAAAACGCTCAAATCAACTCACATTTGATTTGAATGAATTCGTTGAAGCGCTTTGTTGTTTTAGAAAGCTTTTGTTGGGCGTTCATTTCGCCAAAAAATTGTAAGAACGGTTTTTTTTTCGAGAAAAAAATGCTGTAGAAAGTTGTTGTTCCAGAAAATATGAGGAAAATCTTTATATTATTGAAGTGGGTTTTGCAACTCAGACCAAGCGAGTGTGCCACACAATTTTGTAAATGGGCTGTTAGATTACGTAACATGCTTGATTCTAAATTTGATGACCAAGCGGGTGTGTACAAAGGGACACAAAAATCTCTCAGCTCGACAGTTCAAAATATAAAACAAGACTGCTCGTATCAGAGTGAAGCCTTGGGTGTTCCGACTGCCATTTAAGGTTTATGGAGCACTAATAAACTAAAAAAAATTAAAAATGTAACCAATAAAATGATTTTTTTTTGTGAAAATCATCTCCCCACACGCCATATAAAGATTCAAGGCGAAGCCCAGAATTTTTCGACTGCCTTTTAAAGTTTATGAAGCAATAATAACATATAAATTAAATGTAATAAAATAAAATGAATTTTTTTCTTCCAAAAATTTGAGATTTTTTTTGTAAAAATCATCCCCCCACACGCCAAATGCAGTACAAAGGGATCAATTTCGCTCCTCGTAGCCAATGACTTATGGCAAATAAGCTTCTTTCAACCAATTTGGAACAATTTCTAAGATGGATTAAATCTCCGCTTACGCGTTAATATAGCGCGAAATATATCGCGCGTTAATTGTCCCAAAGTAGCCAAAATAGCAATCTTTAAACCCCCATAACTTTACGAAAGATGATCACAGGTGAAATATCTTTTCAAAGTTAAGCGCAGGATAACAATACCTTTTGAATGATATTTTAAAAATTCCGTCAAAATGGCTAGTTAAAAAGTCGAAATTTGTCTGAAGAAAAAAAACCCACCCGAGCACAAATGTTCCGTTACTTTCGTTACGAATGTCGGAACAATAACTAAAGTTTAATTAACCAAAAATTTTAGGAGACCAAAAAAAGGCTGTTAACTTGACTGCTTAGGACTTTGCAGTCTAGTTGCTTCAGATTTGTAAAGTGACATTTGATATATTTTAGAGCCTTAAGCGCAGATTTCAACTTTGGCCAGAGAATGTGTATTGTCAACAGTTTTTTAATTTAACCAAACTAATCTCAGAAAAAAATTGTCGTTACCACTATACTCGAGAAACAACAGTGGGCCTTTAGGAAAGTTTTAGAGTCGGTTGGCCGAAGTGGCTATTACTAAATTTTAGGTTAAATACCGACTCTTGCTATAAATTTATTTTGTAAGTGAGATAGAATGAGTGTAAAACCAAAGCTAAATAAAAAAAATTGAATTATCAAATCTGTTTATGGCTTCCCGAACGATTATAATGGATTTTGAGTAACGAAAATGTTGAACAACATAAACGATTATAGATATGAGCTTTTAAAATTTATATCAATTTTTAATGAATCAATAATTGTATAACAGATTGAATCAATTTTTCATAACAAATTAATCCATTAAATTTATTTTTTTTCCATTATAATCGATTTTTTTCAAGATAAACCATTGAAAATTGAATTTTTCTCCACAAAAATTCATTATAGTCGATAATTTTCTGAGGAAAAATCTTTTACTTCGTTTGCAGCAGTTTTTCGGCAAATCAAGGACGAATCAAAAAAAAATTTTGAACAACATGAAACAAAAACAACGATATCAATCCAGTTTGTAATTTACTAACCCTCCCATACACCTAAATTTTTACCATTGAATGGAAGGCTAATCTACGTAAACTCGACCTCTCTACATCCCCCCTAGATATTTTAAACCCCCTTAAATTTTTAAATCCTCCTACCTCCCACATTCAGTAAACTGGGGAGGAGGGCCTAAACTTCAGTAAACTCCTACCTCCCACCACAGTACATTCCGTGGTAAAAATAGGCAAATGGTGATTTTTTTAAATCACAAAGATGGTATAAAACAAATTAATAAAAAGTTTAAGTGCCACATTGAAAAATTAGAAAAAATTCAAAAATATCAAATAATATGTGAAAATAATTATTAAATGTAAAACGTATCCTCTGCACTAAGCAGGATTTAGGATAATTTATAAAAGATTTACAAATTTCACCAATAAATCCAGTATAATCAGTTAAATTGATATGTAAATTAAAAGCATTATAATCCATTTTTAATTGTTTATAATCGTTTATATATGAAATTTAACGAGACTGACAAAAAAAATCCAAAATAATTGGATGAATATCCATGAAACTCCAGTGCGGGTTTGTTGAGCCTGTGCAATAAATTCCAATTTGATATGAATTGAATTAAAGCAAAACCCTGTCTGCTTAGATATCCCTGTCAACGTGTCTGACCTAAATTTGGGTGATATTTGATCGCATTTGTTTCTTTTTTTTGTAACTATAACGTTAAGTGTAATTGGAAAAATTGATGTCTAGTAACTCAATTTTGCTAGTAGTTTACTTGCGAGAACACGACAAAAAGCAGCTATAATAAGTGCAATAATAAAAAAAAAAGAAATTAACCTCCAATTAGCAAACATTTGGTCTAGGATTCGACCCACTAACTACTGCAATCAAGAGACTTTGAATCTCAAGAACTAACCACTCAGCGATGCCGCACGCTTAACCTCTGACAAACACTAGTCACGATTAAAGCAGCTACATATGCTAATAAATTGTGAACAGCATTCAGAAAAAAGTGGCACCAAATACAAATAGACACAACTTTGCAAGTAATAGTTTGGTATATAACAAACTGAAGGCATCCACACTACTTTTGCTTGTAACAAATCGCAAAGCATACAGCCACATTATGTATAAATTATGCATTTCAAAAATTGCGAGATATGTTGAGTTAAAAAATTTCTTAATTCGAGTTTTAATGATGTCATGTAGTTTGAAACAAAAATCTTTTTCGAACCATTTAATGAATTAAAAATGCATCAACTGTGTTATTTTATTATCATTCGAATTTCAATTGATAAAAGCTGCAAAAGTGCCCCAAAAGTGGTAACAAAATTTGCGACTTAGGTTAAAAAAAAAGAAACTTGAAAGTTTTGAATAATACACAAAGCTGAAGCTAGTGTAAGAATCAAAACAGTATTGACACTCGCTAATTACCCCGTTGGGCCAAATTGCCACTTTTTGATCATTATATATTTTTTTAATTTCGAAATCCTGATCAAATTTTTTGAATGTTACAAACTATTTTGTGATGAGCTGTTGTACAGAGAATCGAATTGTGTCTGCAAGAAAAAACGCGTCAAGAACAAGCAAAGCAGCACATGTTTTGGGAAGGTGTTTTGATTTGGATGTACTACAAAGTTCTTTTAAAAAATTGCTAAGCAAAGGGGAAATTCGGGAAATAAAATATCGCAATTTTTTTATTTGAATAAGTTTTTTTCATAAAAAACTTATGCTTGGGTTCATTTTTTGGTCAGGCCATAAGAAGAAAATAAGATAGTTATCGACTACAAGGAATTATAGCACGATAATGTTACGGACATATTTAATGCCAGAGCCAGCATTTTTCTTCAGTTACCGTTATAGAAATTTTTTTTCAGTATTCAAAAAAATTCTTAGACAACTTGGAGATGAAACACTACGGAATGGTTCAGGCAATTGGAACAATTTGGACTGTTTAAAATAGTCTTTTTTGGTGTCTAAACAACATAGATATTCCAATGTTTTTGAAAACGGGTCTAAGACAGAATTTTGCGTAATAAATAGTTCTAATTAGTTGCAGGGGAATTACATAACTGTCGGTTGAAATACAAATCCAATCGTAAAAATATACAATAATTATTCCCAATTCAAAAATTCAACTACAAACTGCGATCAAATTGTACAAAATCATATCACAAATCACATATTGCAATCAGAGACTTTAAATGGAAGCTATTCAAAAATTTTAGCCTCAAATATTTTTTGCGTTTACAAAATCTGACCATTTTTAATTTCAATTTTTAATAAGAAAGCAGCTGGAAATAAGCTAGGCTAGGTCCAAACTTCGGTTGCAATGTTTCCAGTCATAACTCTGGATGTGTTTCTTAAACATGAAATTCACCGTCTTGAGGCCAATTTTGATTTTCGTCGGTTCCATTCGGCTCGTGTTGTTCCGAAATACTATAGGGCATATTCGCTTGTCGTTCGGGCGAATTCAGAACTGGAAGTTGGTTGTCGAAAGGGACTCCGTCAATTGGCTGGTACTCACGGGACAAAGGTCGAAACTTCACTTGCTTTGGGGGAGTGTTTGACATTTTCTTGGGGGAGCTTGGCACCTCGTTTTGGGGTCCGTACAAATGCATTTCGGGGGCTAAAATGTGCCTGGGAGACGAATTGACATAAGTGTTGGCTACAAACTCCTTCTGCTTATTGCTTGCTTTAGCCGAATCGTATTTTGACCCATTGCGTTTCGATTGGCAATACCGATTTGACACGTAAAGGATGACAGCGAAAAGGATAATCGAAATGAGAACCACAGATAAAATAATTATGAGAACCAAAGTTGCAAACGTGGGATGATCTTCGTGTTCTTTTGCGTTTAGTTTCAAAACTGGTGTTGCCGCTGCTGCTACAGTAGTCGTCCCGCTAGCGCAAAGATTCCGGTCTTCATAATCGGCTTCATTTATCACATTTCCATCATTATCCAAACAGTTAATTTCAATTTGAATTGAGGGTTTCAAGCAACGTCGCATATTCGCAACTGAATCGGTTAGATTGCAAGAGCAGTTTAGCCTGTTATCCGTTAATTCCAGGACATCTAGCGTCTCAGAAATGTCGCAGAACATCCTTTCAAAATCGAAATTGGCGATTTGCAAGTTCGACACTTTTAGTTCTTTCAAGGAAATAAGGTTATGGAAAGGATTTATGTCGAAACTTTCCATATTTGGCAGAGATATTTCCAGGAATTTGAGAGTAGTTGGAAATCGAAAGTTGTCGCGATAGAAAGCATTAGATGATAAATTAGCATCGGAAATGTTGAAAGAAGCTCGATTTACTTTCGTGTTTAGATCGGGATACATTTCGGCATACATTTTTTGAAACTGCTCATTATCCCACAGTTTTTGCAGGTGATGTTTTAATGGAAGCGACTGCCAGCAGTAGTAATCAGAGGTAAAATTCTCTTTGTGAATTCTGAAAAAACACTGACTTTTATCCTTCAAAGTTCATCTCTGTACCTTCAAGTGGAGTATTAAATTTTCAATTGAATATTTTTTTTCTTAAAACTGAAGAAAGACTTGATGGAACATAATTAAATTGTATATTACGAATAATTTGAGAATAATTTTAATATTCATGCGTTTTAATCGGTAAAAAAACAGATGGCTATAATGTAATATTCTACCAGTGGCGGTTTTAGGGGCGACTTCGGAGTCCCCGCATCCAGTTTCAAGCGTTAATGATCGATTATAATATGATTTTAGTACCAGTCTTACGAAAATTGAGAAAAAACTGATTTTAATAAATTAATAATCTATTATAAGCTCTCTTTTTGAAATCAAATATTTGGTAGAAACTTTCCAAAAAAGCCCAAACACTCCTGTTTTAACATTAAAATTTAGCCCAAACTCTCCTGTTTTAACACGAAGGGGTATCTATAGTGCTTTGAGAAAGCTCAGAAAACCAATTTGGTCGATCTACAGAAAATTCATCAAACATTTTGAAAATTTTTGAAATTTTTCCGAAAATTCGCCTCCCCCTCCAGAAAATCCTAGATCCGCTCCTGATGTCTATCAACAAGTCTAAATTTTCTAAACAAAATCAAGATATACTAATTTAAATGCAGTTTTTTAACAAAAGATTCTGATTTATTTTTTCATAATACTAAATTTAGTAGAAGTTTACTCACGTAAAAGGCTGACTGCATGCGTCTAGTTGGGTCGACGAGGAAACGTCGATTAGAGAAAGGAGCAGAAAAGTAGTCGCAAACATTTTCCGACAACTGTCGCCAACCAAACTCAAACTAGTCCGGGGGTTCCAGCAACTGGCAAAACTAACACGACGGGTCATTTTCATTGTTTTCAATTTCTGTTAGACGATTTGTTTGTTTATCGGTTGAAATATTAACCCGGTAGCAAGTTGAACCCAGTATGTAGCTAAAATAAATCTGGAATCAGTTTAAACTAAAGCCCGGAGCTGACAACTCTACCGCTTTACACTGTGTAATCACGCTAGGTTGTTGTTTTGAATTAAATGTCAGAACGTTATATCTTATTAGAACGAGTGAGTGTTAGAAATTTCAGCTGAAAGTCAAGGAATGAATGAAATTGAATTAGAAGGCTGTCCAGTGCAAACTTGGAATAAAATGTTTCCCAATCCTTTTACGATCTGCCAATTTACAAATTTGACAGGTATTGGTCAGATATTTTCTAACTGGAATTTTTTTCGATGAGAGTAACTTGTTTTAGAGTCACAATTTTCGGAAATGATTTAAAAGGTCCAATGTTTTAATGGCAAAGGCATTTTTTAAAAAAAACAAGGGAAAATAGACAACTTTTGAGTTAATTTGATTAGATTCAAGACTTTTTCCAGACAATGCGACCCGGGTTTGCATTAAAAATGAACCGAGAAATCAGTTAATGTGAAAAAATTCAATCAGAATTGCCCAAATTTAGCCCACACAAAGGGATTGCGATGCTGAAAACTGGCTTTAATGGATATAACTCAAATCCATTAGAGAGTACAAAAGACCCTCCTGCCTGGGCTAAAAATGCAATGTACCAATCAGGTAAAAGAGATAAAAGCTCTTCTTATTATCAATAAATTGCCCTATAAAAAATTGAAGAAAAAAACGTGAATAAAACCCCTCAGGTAAGTCCGCAGGGCAGGTACCTCAAAATCCCCCAATTGTTCAACTCAAGAGCACAGCCAGTAAAAAATAAATGTAATACTGAGTATATGTTAATATTCCTCCGACAATCGCCTGGATTTTTGTTAGATTTAAGACTCTTCGTAGTCAGAATTAATTTGGGTTTTGCAGCGGTATGGCAATTCACAGCGGGGTTAAATTTGGCACGCTTAGTAATTGGGGTCTATTGTGAAGCTGATTTTGACAGTATTGTAGCCTCTGATTTCATTAGCGATGCATAGAAGATTTGAAGACTAATTCTGAGACGGGCTAAAAATCAATTGAAAAAAAAATTGCTCGTGATTTTTTCTCCTAGAAAACAGGAGGAAAACAGCGGAAAAAATGGCCTCTCAAATGAATTCTGGAAGCTTGGAAGCTGGAAAATCAACACCAGAACACTAAGGGGTCTTTGTTATCATTGTGCAAAAAATCGATAAGGAATTTGCAGACTGACTTCAATGTTCTTTTTCATAACCAAAAAAAAAATGATATTTTTATATTTTCCAAAAAAGTAAATAAGTTAAGCTACAAAAATTGAATTTTTTTTGAGTAAGTGGAAAAATAACTATTGTCAAATAAAAAAAAAACCTCTGCAACTTTTAAACTCAGACAGCAATTTTTTCAAGTCTTAAAACTATTTCCAAATTGATCAGACTAAAAATTAAAGCGCCAGATATCGTATCTTCAAATGGCGTCCATTAAAAGCCTTTCTCAAAGGATTAACTTTGAAAGAAAATGGCATCAACTTGGCAGCAGAAAAAAGAATAAAGACGGAAATTTTGTCGATTTAAGACGAATTCGCTGTAAAAAGATCCAACAAATCTCTTTAATTGATTATTACGGCCGAATCACGGCGGGTTTTATTGGCATTAAGAAGGGAAATCAAAATTGGAGTCCGTGATTTGGTTTGCTTTTAATCCGTCAATATCTTGGGCTGAAAAGTCGCAAAAAATGCCCCAGAAGTCGTTGCATCAAAAAGTCGAAAAATGAGATTCGCATTTTAAAAATTATTATAATAATTTAAGAAATTGTTTTCAGGCTACAACTTAGTTTTAAAATAAATGCGCAAAGGAATAAAAATCAAAATTTTTAGCCTTGTTATTATCAAGTAATTATTAGTACAGGTATTCAAAAATGCAGTGAATTTCGTCTTTGAGAGGTTTTCGTTTTTGAATGATGGTGAACAAAAAATTTTTCGACCAAGTAAGCATTTGGCTAAGTGGCTTTTTGCACCCTGCTTCCCAGATTTTTGGAAGTTGGGAAGGGCTTAAAATTACAATTGGGCTGCTGGCAAAAATTTGGTCCCACGTCCTTTCTCCGCTGATTAAAGAGAGTTCTTCTGCAAGGAATAAAAATGGATTTTATATAAAAAAAAATAGTTTATTCAATCAATAATCAGGAGAAATGTCGTGATCAAATTATCTGATCAGAAAGACAAGGGTAAGACAGGCTACCATGTTGCTTAAGGCTGCTTCATCGGGTTTCTAATTTTAAAAGCTAATTGGAAATTCTAGACGATTTTCAAGATTTATTCAAAAATTGATCCATTTTTTGTCAACTGATAGGTGAAAGTAAGAATTCAAAACATTGAGTTTCAGAATATAAACTTCCATTTTTTCATTCTTTCAATTTAGTTCTTAAGTCAGATACAAAAATGAAGAAAAAATTTTTTTCTTGCATGAAATTTTTTATCAAGTTCCATTAAAACTGCAGTAACAAAACAAACTAACCTTTCAGTATTTCGATGACTAAAAAGGCTTTAATCGTCTCATTTGATTGGAAGCTATGCCAGTTTATATTTCTGAAGGAACATAAAGAAAATGAGTTGTACCACTCTGTCATAACTCAAGATGGTTTGTTTTCAAAACTGACGACATGTTGACACAAAAAACTAATTAATTCTAGTTTAATTTGGGCCAGAAAGCGATTCTGTATTGACCGTTTGGGCTAGAGTGACAAAGAAAGTGCTCATTTCAAAAGACTCTGGCCTAATTTCTGGGTGGGTATGTTTGCTCTTACCAGCTCAAAGAGTAAATCTGCTAACCAAGCAAATGTCTTCTTAGATAAGGACTCATTATGAGTGCTCGTTGACCGTTTGAGCAAGATTTACGAAACTATGAGTACATGTATCGATATTTTAATTGCAGAAGAAAAATTGCGGGAAGAAAAATTGAAGCAAAGATATATTGATACAACTGAATAATAAACGAAGTAACTAATTGGAGTTGAAATTTTTTGTAATTTTTGGGTTTCTAAGAATTTAACAAAAAAGAGCAAATATAATATTTTCTATTTCCGTAAAACCATATCATTGCTGTTGAAACATTTGTCACTATGTCTTAAAAATTTTTTAGTTTCTCTAAAAAAATTCTATGAAATTAATAAAGAAACTTTTTGCCACCAAGCATTTTACAGTAGCCATTGAATGACTAAAACTAAACTGATAGGAAACTATAATGATAACATAACACTTCTGTTTTCGTCACTCTGATTTTGCACAGAAGACTATGACAACCGCCAAACTCTTTCTATCTAATAGAGCACTCGGACAGCAAAAAAATTTACAGGCTTCCATGTATTTTAGATCAAAACAGACATAATTTTGAAAAATCTTTTATATGTGTAATTTTAAACCATTGGCGTTGACCGTTCGCCAGCTAGATCGTTTGTTTTAACTTGTTTTTCATTGATACCAAAAACAAAATCAAAATTATTCTCCAATATATTGAACTATTGAAAAAAGATGCAGTTTTTTTTAATGCTTGATTACTTGTAAGTTTATGAATGATTAACAAAAGTTGCTCATTAGATCAAATTTTCAATGTTTCAAATGCTCTTTAAGGTCTATCTTTTTTCCACACACTTTTAATGAATTGCCAACAGATTAGGTAAAGCCGGTTACTATGCAAGCAGCACAAAATGTTCCGACCTAAGGCTTAAAAAAACAACAATTTTTTTTCCATTTTAGAGTAGATCTTTCTGCTTTATGTGATAAAAATTTCTGAACTAAAAATTGAAAGCTTTGGCATATTCGACTTTCATAGCGAAAAAAAAGCAAATTAGTAAACCATTTTTTCAGACAAAATGACTGGAAAAAAGCTGAAAAAAAAACGGCTCAATGTAAGCATAAATAAGCCTGCTCACTCGCTTCATTTCCTCGAAATTGGAAAAAAAAATATCTAACGAGGTTTCCTTTACACTGAAAGAAATTTTGAAACTTTTTAAAGTTGTTCGAATCACGACTGAAAGGGCTTCAACATGATATATCACTCGACCTATTCCGATGGCTTTTTGTTCTACATGATTTTGCGTGAAAAACAAAACAGAAAAAACTAAAACACACCCGAAAACAAAGTTCAGACTATGAGAATTTTCATTGAATTGTTTTTGACTATCCTCGCCACACAGGGTGTAGATATTAAATATTTTTCTTCCACCGATCCTCCTACTGCGAAAAATTATCTTAACGCTTTTTTCGGAATGAAATTTGGAAACAACTATTCAAAATTGATCTCTATTAGCAAAATTTTAAAGAAAACTCAAAAATGCAATTCTATTCTTAATCAATGTTTTAGTGTTTTCAATTTTCTGCCTAAGAACTGTTTTTTTTTTGAAAAATGTTTCAAACTGTTGATTGGAATTGGCAGCTACGATAAAAATTTGGTTTTAAGCTATTCTTTTTTGATTAACGATTTATTGCTACATTGGCTTATTGTACCAGCACCAATATATGAATAAGACTGAATGGTCTGAATTTGCCTAAATTCAAAATAACTGGTTTTTGATCTGGATAATTTTGCCGCTTATGCGTCAATAAGACACAATATATTGATCATTGTTTATCCCATATTGGCTTAGCCGGATGCTTTTAAACTTTCATATTTTAACAGATAGCAATATCAGGTTGAATACGTCGTTATTTGATTCTAAGAAACAATTCTTATACAAAACTCTCCGTGTCAAGAAAAACTAGTACACTTTTTCTTATACGTTTTTCAGACTAAACCAGGTGGAATATGACGAGAAGCTGATCTTCCAAGTTTAGTTACGGTTCCGACTATTGAAAATGGAAAGAAACTTAGTATTCGGGTGTGTTTTGCCTCTTTTTCTTTTTTTTCCACGCAAAACAAGCAAACAAAAAATCATCAAAATGCTATAACACATTAAAACATTTTCAATCGTTTTCTAAAATTTATCTATTTGGACTATTAGGAGAAATCAATTAATTTTACTGTAAAGAAAACAAATTTTGGATGTGTTATTTATTGCTTAGAAGGCAAAAAAGATTTTCTAAGTTTTATAAATGCAGAAAGTTTTCAAAGAATTTAAAATAAATTAGTTTTTATATTTTTCATTTTTTGTAATCTACGGAATCTACTAATAACCACACTAATTTGAAGAAAAGTAGAAAAAAAAACGACTTTTTCTTTTTTTTATGAATTTGGTCGGAACACTTTGTGCTACTTGCACAGCAACGGGTTATTCTTGTTTCAAATTTAACGTTGTGTTATTTCTCTCTTTCTTTCATTCACATATGGTTTTTAAAAGATAACAGGAAATTTAGACAACAAAAATTGCAAGCAAAAAATTTTTTACTTTCTTTTCTTTTTAAGAGCAACTTTTTTGGTTTTTGATCTTCTTTCAAATCAATTTAGTCGCAATCCGTTTTTGCAATTTTTCCGTGAACCAGTTTTTTTTGTTTGAATTTGGTCATTCACACTACTACTTAATTGAAGACAATTGACTTTTTGTTGGCCTTCCAAATAACTGATTTATGGGGAAAACAACAAAAGCTATCCTGTCGAAACAGAATGCAACAAACCGAACCCCTAAGGATCGAGGATTACAAATTAAACCCACAAAAGATCTTTTTAAATCTGCAATTCAGAATTCTCTGGCCGAGTTTAGCGGCTTATCCGATTTTATCAAGTTGGGTTAAGTTGGGTATAGAGACAGTTAATAAAATTAGAG